ATTATTATTATTATTATTATTATTATTATTATTATTATTATTATTATTATTGGGCAGTTGAATTAACAGAAGGTTTGTTTTCATTTAGTAACTTTTTTGGAAACGTTTTCATTAGAAAATTTTTCCCAAGTCGTGATTAGTTTTCTATTTGGAGGATATCAGCCGTCTCCGTGTTTGATAAGTTCCACCTAAAATAACAATAATATAAATTGATAATTTATATTGCGCTAAACTAATTAAAAAAATTAATGCGCATTACAATAATAATAAAAATCTAATAAATAAAAAGAATAAAATGAAACTATAATCTATGCTATTCCTCGATTGACGTAACGTCATCGCTGCCTCTCGGGGGAGTGATGCTGCCACATAACAAAATATTTCTTATTATAGCATCCATCGTTAACGATGCCTCAACAGCGAATATATAGAGGATATAACATGCATGGCCGCGCGAAGATACGGATTTTAACTTCGAGAGTTGAATTTTTTTTTTTTTTTTTTTAAAACATGTAAAGATATCACTTTTAAGTAGTAGAGAAAAAAGATATTTCATCAAAGATTATATATTAGTGTTATCTATCTTTCATAATTATATATTAATAATTCATAATACTAATCGTAATATACCAATTTTAAATAGATACGTCATATGTATAATAAAAACCTTTGCCCCGAGCTAAAGCATAAAACAATAGAAGTCAAAGTCAATGTTTTGACAGACCCAGTGACGTCATATGTCACACATCATCAATGTGGTCAGCAATCATGTGTGGTTTCGAAGGTGGATATCACTGATGTTTTGACAGCTAATATCCAAACTAAAATGTGAAATAATTTTGCATTTTTATACGCTACCAACCAGGTGAATCTATATATCGTAGTTTCGCAAAATGCAATCGAAACCATATTATGGATCACGAAGCAGTGTTTACAGACCATGATTGCCTATTATCATGGTCTTGAAGGAGGGGGGAATCCGGATCCAGAATCACGTGCTATTTTTTCCCGAAATCTCGCGCCCCGAACATTGAATTCGGTAATTCCCGAGTCACGGCCGATGCCAATATCCCGAATCACGTAAGTTTTTTTTTTCTAGTTTGCCGGTTCCCGCGTTATATTTTATCCGTTTCCCGGCTCCCGCGAATACCCTTCGAGACACTGTTTTATCATTGGTGGACCCCTTGCATGTGACGTCAAAGCAGCTCGATCTGTGGGACAAAACAAATCCAATCTCCTGAGAATCAGAAACTTTTGTTTTGTTTTGTCCTCCAGATTGAGCTGCATTCCAAAGATGTGACTGAAAATCCCTTGAGATAGGAATAACAATGAAACAGTCGCCATCTTGGTTGATCTAACAAGAGAAACTAATGAGGAATGCTTTGTTATCGTCAACCAAGATGGCGGCAATGACGTAACATACACTTGCTATGTAAAAATTTTCAGTTACACTGATAAAGGTCTTTGTTTAGACCGAAACCTCTGTTTAAAAACCGTACATTTCGCGAGACAATTTCAATTTATAATGAATCATGAAAACTGCTCTATTGGACTGCAAATGAACTAAGGCCCCGTCCACACTATGCCGGATAACTTTCACACCGAAACCGAAAAAAAGTTGTCCGTCCACACATGAACTGAACGGGTAAAATGTTTCGCGTTCACATAAGTCCGATCAGAGGCGACAAAAACGCTTCATTGCACATCGGAGCATGTGCATCGAAGCTGAAATTGAGCCCGCGGTGAATTTTTAGCCTTCCCGCCACGTTCCCATGACAATCATGACGTCATCGTATTCGAAAAATTTCGGATACGGAAAGTTCTCCGTCCACACTAATATGGCGAGCCGGCGTTTTTCCACTCTGGAGACCGTATTTGAAAAAAATTCGTTTTCGGTGAAGAATTGTTTCGGATTGGCCCGGACTAGTGTGGACGGTAGGCCTAACCGAATAAATAAAAATTCGGATTGAAATTCATCCGGCATAATGTGGACGGGGCCTAATTGTTATCTTTTTATTGAAGAAATATGTGTTCCATATAATAAGACACCTATAAGATTAATTCTCGCCTACTATGGCAGGTATTCTTAAAAGTCCCGACTTCATTATTCTGCCATAACRGGCTCGCATGAATGATCAATAAGTGTATAATGTACAGTAAAAGCCATTTTGGGTAAAATGCTTATGCCATAAAATCAAAATCCTCGAAAATATCCAAATTCAATAAACCACTTGCCGTTCGTCACAATGCAGCTTTATTTTGGAGGACATAACAATAGGTTTCCAATTCTGAGGAGATTGAAATTCTTTTGTTTTGCCGGTCCTCCATATTGAGCTGATTTGAAGTCACACATGCAAGAGGTCTATTCCGTCGTATTACAATCACACGGCTTGCTTTGTAGAGAAACTGAAAAAAGTGTGTAACCGCTATTGGTTTCATGTCGAAAAAAAAAAACGCGAGCTAAATAAAAAATGATCAAAAATTTCAATGGGTATAATGTTTGGGCCACCCATCCAGGTACTACTACTAACCCCCCTCAGACGGGCTTGACTCACTATCTTAATAGGCCGCAGTGTTTTTTCCCCCATTGGGCCACGGTTACAGGTGAATCAGCATAACAATAGCCATGAAAACAATGCACCAGATGGACTAGACTTTTTAACATGATGCTTCGGCTAGAACATTTTCTTGCGCAATTCGTACACCCAAGGACAGAAGGATTTAATCGCCGTCAGGTCCGAAGTCCATACGCCGCCTCAGCTCTGCGGATGTCTCGGGGGTATGGCACATTGGGATCGATTTTTTTAAAAAGATTTTTTCCTTTCTTTCTTTTCTTTTGTCTTTTCTCTTTTTTTCTTTCTTTCTTTTTTGTTTTTCCCTTCATCTTCCTTTTCTTTTTCTTTTTCTTCCCTCTTTTTTTCATTCATTAAATTGTTTATTGAATCTAAATTACTTCATTTGGTTTCTTAGTATTTTTCTATATATTGCTATGGTTTCTGTTTATATGTTTCTGGAGCCAGACAGTCCCAGAAGTCAACTTTGGTCCTGGGTTTCCTGTGGTATTCTTATCACGTAGAAGGTTGAATACTAGTAGATCCGCTGGCCATATAATATCACAGGCTCATGTGACAGCGTGCATGGTTGGATGTATGGCAGTTCTGTGATATAACAAACACCAAAATACTCTTATTTACACCAGAAAATAACATTTAAACATGCTATCTTTACACACTACAAGAGTGCGATGTCATCAATGTAAGTAACAGAACATAAATCGTATAAATAGTTCGTTTTATTTTTGGTTTATTAATTGTTTTTCTTCCCAAATGCACTCATTCACTACAGCATTTGTCACTCACGAGAAATTCCGGCTTTTTTCTTCTTCTTAGTGCTGAATAAAACTGCCCAATGCGCCAGGACGTTTATGTTAGTGTCTGCACAAAAGGTACGTAGGAATCATGCGATATGAAGAACTATTAGTGATGTACGTAAACCATAAAGCTGAACATTTGAAGTTTATATGTCTACAAAATGTACAGATCGTGTTATTCAGAAACTTCTACAGTGCACCACAAAATGCATGTTAAAAATTGAATTGTAGCTAAAGTCTGGTGGCATTGCTAAAATTAATATTTAGATAGCTACTGAGCTTTGGATTCAGATCTGTCGAATGTCTTTCTTTCCTTCATTTGAGACATTTTTTTTGAGAATTTATAGAAAGTCATGAATCCATGCATGTAAATCCATAATCTATATGCACCTTTACACCAAAAAACTATTATAAGGCTACATTATATACCTATATATTATTAGACACTTAGGATGCACTACATGGTAGATATTTTGTTGAATCTGCAAAAAAAACAAAAAAGTAAAAATGCCCATTGTCAATTCAACCTAAAAAGTCTAATTAGTTATTTATCAACCAACTATTACAAATATTGCAAATGCGTGACATGTTGTGCTTTATGCATGCCAAAAATTTATTTCTAGAGTACAAAAAATCATAGAATACTTGTACTCATTTCAGGCTTTCTTCAGCAATATTTGTACTCTAATATTTAAAGTGGGATATTAAAAGCCGATATTACGAAGCTTGTCTTACAAACAATAATATTACTAGATAATGCTTTGGGCACAGTTGGAAGCACGGGTGGTATGAGCTGCTAATGCATCAAATCTTACCAATAGCTGGGTTTGATTTCTGAATTCGGCATTGTATGTGTGTATAGTTGTTTGTTGGTTCTCTTCTGTGCTTAGAATCAAGGTTTTTCCAGTTTCTCTCCCATCTTTAAAATATGAACTACTGTAGTAATTTTCAAATTCAATCTTTAGGCTTTCACTCTAGCATGGAATTTAGATAGAGTTCTGTTTTTGATTTTCCCATGCTGTTATATAAAAACCAAAGCTGGTAGATTTATCTTAGAACAGCTGCTACATTTCAGAAAAATTTAATTGTTTTGTTTTGTTTAAGAGAAACCGTTTAACATACTCTGTTCTAAACATGCAAAGTGGAATGATTTCCAGTTTTTCAAGTGTTCTCTTAGTATAAGAAGTGATTAAATCAGGGAATCTAAAATGGATAACATTTATCTCTTTTAAAAAATGACTAGCACACAAATTAATGTAAATATGCTGTTTTATATATTTTTATATAAAAGTACAAATTCAAAGTTTGCAGGAAAATAAAGGCATTTGAACCAATCAGAACATGCATTATCAAAGAGCATACACTTTACATGTACATGTACATGTTCATTTTATAGTTCCGTTCAGTGACCAAGAATAATAGTTCGAAGTTGAGGCTGGAGTTTCCACGCATAGCAAAACTATACTTTTTATCATGAGTGGCAACTCCAACCTTGGCTTGAAACTATCATTTGTGGTCACTGAACAGGACTGTAAAATAGAGTATTCTATGTCAATCCATTGTACTTTAAGTAATCAGGCTGCTTTCTCATTAGTAATTTTGATGCATTTTTCTTTCAATTTAGAATTTCAATAGAACAGGATTAAAAGTACTATCAAGTCCTAGTAAGTAGTTCATCATGTGCACATACCATTGATAACTTTGCCATAAGGCCTGCTCACTTAGTGTTACTGTTGTACATAATATTGCAGAAGTGGAATAAGGCTCTACATTTTTACTTCTGCAACATTAACTTGAGTGAGACTATGTAGTGTCATTAGGCTAAACAAAAAAATAAGTGTGTTTATTTTTTTCCGATCCAGTATGCTAAAAAATCTTGCGTTCTGATTGGCTGTTTGAGTGGGCAGTATTTTGTCAGTATCTGCCTGCGCTCGTGGTCCTGTATTCTTTGCCGCTAAACAACAAAACAAAACAATCACAAAAACAAGTAAAAAAAATACGGGAAAAAAATAGACAAGTTATTTACCGTCCTATAGTCAGTCTGGATAGGGAAAAACTGTGCCCTTGGTCTTGAAAACATATATTCAAGACCTTGGGCACAGTTTTCCCCTATCTGGACCTCCTGGCCAGTAAATAACATATATTTCCTGTTGCGTGACTGACCCTAATTTTCTTGCCAATTTTTGCCAACCCTAATGTTTTTTTCATTCCCAAATGCACCACAGGGTTCCCAGTAAGCTCATTTCCACTGTTGCATCAGTAAAAAAAATCGGACCTACTGACCCCAATTATTTTTCTCATGCAACAGGAAACACACTTATTTTTTTTGTTTGGCCTTATGCATGTACATTGTAAATATGACATGCAACATTTCTGGCAATGGTATACACCGAATCGAAATATGGCGACCAATTTGAATAACTATTGTTATGCAATGACCAGCGACTGACTAGCCTCTCATACATGTGAAAATGCTTTTATGTTTCCATGTGAACACGAGGCTAGCCAGTCGCTAGTCAGTGCAGAACAATAGTTATTCAAATTGGTCGCCATATTTCGATTCGGTGTATAATGTTCTGAACTAACGTTTAACACAACTTTTCTGGTCTAACACTGGATGCAGGGAAAGATTTAAGGGAGGGGGGATCGTGTGAATGGAACTGAAGTCTGGAATTTTTTTTGCCCAAAATATTTACAGAACGCTGGAAATACCATTTCTGAAAGTCACATTAAATGTTTTGGGAGGAGGGAGGGTGGGGGCATGCTCCCCAGTCCTCCTCTAGTTTTGTTTTGTCATTGGTACATGTAATATTACACTGAATTTTTTCTGACCAACCCCCCAACCCCACCCCCACTCCTTCTGAGTTTCCAGTTTTGGTTCTGAAGTAGCTACTAGTGGCATCCCTTAGAAACTATGCAGCCAGCATGCAATATTGCATGCAAACAGTGTTACAACATGTGCTGAATCCTGAAAACTGATGGGTATATTTTTAACCTTCAGGAGTTTTAATCAGAGGATATGCTGCTGAAGCCACCAAGCAGACATTTTCTAGAGACAAACCTCATGTGAATATTGGAACAATAGGTCATGTAGATCATGGGAAAACTACACTTACAGCAGCTATTACTAAAAGTACGTTTACAATTCATACTATTACTATTAATTGATCTTTTTTCCTGTTTCATTCTCTCTTTTTATGGAGTACATGTACATGTGTAAAGATGATTGTAGATAGCCTAAGGACAAAAACAAAGTGTACAGTAACATGCCTGTAAACAGTACATGTAAAATTAACATTTTTGCTTTCCAAAGAATTGCATACAGTTAAACATTACTTCTTCATACCGCAATGATTTTCTGTGTAGCTGAAGGGTGCTTTTTCCTCATCAATTATTGAATAAAATTAGGAATCACTGCAAAAAGTTTACTAGAGACAATAATAATAATTCATGAAATGTGTTTTTTGTCACTCTTTAAAGAGCTATATGTTAAGTGTATGCTACATCGAGTGTATAAGCAGATTAAGAAATCTGCCTCAGTTGGGTTCTCACGGGACTCAAAACACTTACCTCTCGTTTGCTAGATGAGATCTCAACCGCTCGGCCACAGAGGCTTTACGGGAGAAGGTCGTGTTAGATCTATATTTTAATCAAATCCGCACGTGATCTTTTGCATGTACATGTACCTAACACAAGACGGGACAAACACAGTTCGGAACCCGCTCGGAATATCCGTTAATCAACGGAATTTTTTATCAATTGTGAATTTATGAAATGTGTTTTTTTCTTTACCGAGTGACAACTTCTGTTAACTATTCGATTGTTCTCGCTGTAGTCTTGTATGTTTATGGCTTTGAGTTTGCTTGATTTGAAAGTAGGTTTTTCTAAGATAAGATGGTTTTTGTTTCAGTTCTTTCTGAGAAAGGCGCAGCTAATTTCAAGTCGTATGGTGACATTGATAATGCTCCTGAAGAAAGAGCTAGAGGAATCACAATCAACACTGCTCATGTTGAATACCAGACAGATAAACGCCATTATGGACATGTGGATTGTCCTGGTCATGCTGATTATATAAAGGTTGGACAGAAACGGGTGGCAAAATTGTGGAATGACTAGTGGTGTAAATGTTTTCAGTAAGCTAAAAAAATACTACATTTCTCTCCAGAACATGATTACTGGTGCAGCACAGATGGATGGGGCTATACTTGTAGTGGCAGGAACAGATGGTCAGATGCCGCAAACTAGAGAGCATTTGTTATTGGCCAACCAGGTAAATATAGATACAGTGCATACATATGCACTGTACTTCTATAGTGTATTAAATCTCCATAACTGTTGGGCTTCCTTTGTACTTGTAACACAGGTAACCCAGATGTAAACCCAGATAATGCACTCTACTGTACTGTATGTGATGTCATACACTGTACTTCTACAGTATAGTGTATTAAATCTCCATAACATTTGGGCTTCCTTTGTACTTGTAACACAAGTAACCCAGATGTAACCCCCCAGATAATGCACACTATACTGTACTGTACTGTACATGTATGTGATCTTACCATGTGAATATTTTCAGGTTGGAGTAAAGAATATTGTGGTGTTTATAAACAAAGCTGATGTGATTGACGACCCAGAACTGCTTGAACTGGTAGGTGAATCCTCTTAGTTTATCTCACCTCTGATTGGCCAAGAACATTCAGCCAATCCCTGATAACTTGTGAACTTGATATAATCAATGTGTATTATTATCAGTTTCTACTGCAGATAATGCTTTTATCATGTCAAGTACTGTACTGCATTTACAATATTCAGTCACACAAAAAATAGCTGGATGGGCTCGGCAAAAGTTTGCACCCTACAATTTCTAACTACTTMGATATATTTCCTTTGTTGATTTCTATGCTTTGTTTGACCAGGTTGAGATGGAGTTACGTGAGCTGCTGTCAGAGTATGGCTATGATGGCGATAACACCCCAATCATAACAGGATCTGCATTATGTGCATTAGAAAACAAAAATCCTGAAATGGGAATCAATGCTATCATGAAGCTATTAGAAGCTGTAGACGGACACATTCCAACACCCACTAGAGATCTCGACAAACCTTTCTTGCTTCCTGTCGAAGGAGTGTTCTCAATCCCTGGACGAGGAACTGTTGTTACAGGAAGAATTGAGAGGGGTGTGATCAAGAAAGGGGAAGAGGTCGAGTTTGTTGGTCATGGGTCAAAGATAAAAACCACTGTCACCGGTAAGTGCCTTATTTAACTTTTTTAGGGACTGGTCATTATTTATCCAGAGGGGGGTGGGGGCTGGTGCAACGTTGAATATGCGGTTTCGAATATGCTATGCTTGATTTTTGGTGACCCCCTCTCCTTTAAGCATGATTTTTGCTAATTTTTGCTTAAACCCATGTATAAAAAATGCTGGCCCACCCCCTACTGTATTTGCACCGCCCCCCCCCCCCCCCCCCCCATCTCAATAAATAATGGTCAGTCCCTTATACAACTATTTTAAAAAGGTTGGTGAAGATTTTGTTGCTCGTTGAATACTTTTTACTAAGCTAAAAATGTATTCCATATGTATTAAAGTCATACGTAAATAATCTCAGCATAGAAAAAAATGTACCAGAAAAACGTATCAGTTGCTTCATTCCTTTGGTATTCTGTTGTTATTAGGGATCGAGATGTTCCACAAACTGTTGGATCAAGGACAGGCTGGAGATAACCTTGGTGCATTGGTTCGTGGTGTTAAGCGAGAAGAGGTACGCCGTGGAATGGTTCTGTGTGCTCCTGGAAGTGTTAAATCACATTCAAAGTTTGAAGCACAGGTAAGAATATTAAGAATTTGCAACACAACACCTGTTCCATCACTCAAACTACCTCGTAAAGAGATGGTACTTGAGTGCCAAGTTGAGAAGATAAATAGTAGCCTATAGAATTGTTCTACTATCAGATCCCCAGCCCCAACCCAATTCCCCCCACCCACCCCCCCCACAAAAAGTATCCCCAAACTACATGTACCCCCAAAATAACCCCAAACTACCCCCAAACCAGCAACAACCTTCTTAGAGGAAATCCTGGAATACACACCAAAAGGCATGAGTTTGATTCATAATTTCACTAAACTCCTTCAGCAATTACGATTTCATTCAATTCTTGACATAGAGCAAGACAAATTTTAACGGATATATATTTTCACTTTAATACAGTAACTGTAAAACCAGCGTTCTTTGGTGTCGTTACAGGTGTATATCTTAAAGAAAGAAGAAGGAGGTCGTCACAAGCCTTTTATCTCCAACTATACGCCCCAGATGTACGTCCGTACTGGAGACGTGGCGGCGACCATCACCCTCCCCGAGGGGAAGGAATTTGTCATGCCCGGTGAAGATGCTAATTTCTCTGTCAAGTTAATGTTTGACGTGCCTTTAGAAATTGGACTTCGTTTTACTTTACGAGAAGGTAGTAAAACAGTCGGCACAGGAGTCGTAACAAAGATTCTAGAATAGAAAGATCAACTTATCGTATAATGCTGGACCAGAAGTTTTAATGCATCCTCGGAAAACCAGGGCGCTTCATCCTCCCCACCTCTCCCCCCTGGGTTTCTGAGGATGTGCCTTTTTCGCGAGCTTGTAAAAAAATGAAGAAAAAATCTTCTTCGATGCAAACTATTTGTAGTGTCTGTGTAAGTCCAGGCAAGGCTATCGTATATACCACACAGCATTGAAGCAATTAACGAATAATCAAACCAGTGACGTCAAGTGCTGGTCACATCCTATAGAGGCTTTGCACCATCACGTCATGGCAGCCATGACAGGAGGCAGGAACAATGGATTCTGGAGTAATCTGATTTACATTAGAAAGGATCAGTTTCCCAGGGGGGAAAAACTTTTGTTATGCCCCTGTCATGGCTGCCATCACGTGATGGTGCAAAACCTCTATTCAAATTTAGTTCTGTTACATCATATTCTTTGATTGCCTCAATATAACTGATTTGTTACACAATAGTCTTGCCTGGACAATAACCTTGCCTGGCGTTCTTCACCGTTTGCAACAAGCTTCATGGTTTATTCGATTCGCCTCAAAATTAGTAAATCTTCCGAAAATGATTGAAATGAAATCCAGCGGTTTGTCGTATGTTACTTTATCGTGTGTGGTGCTAAAATTATAGACTTTTTTCCCTGGGGCTGTTAAATCCGCTACAAAATCCGCACTATTCAACAAAACTTAAACCAGCGCCAAAACCAGGGCTGTGTGGTAAGAACCCTTACTGTCGAAATCTTCGGCTCGCACACTAAATTCCACAGCTTAAAATACCACAAATTTGCCATGAATTATCGGCAGACGACTAAAAGCCGCCCGTCACCAAAAGTCTTGCCTTCACCAATGTATTATTTTTGCCGGTTCGTGCTAAGGAATATAATAAGTATATAATATGTTTTTTTAGGTTTTTAAATTTTTTAAACATCTCAGTTACCAAAAAGGGACCAAATTACGATGATAAAAATGGCCTGAAATTAAAGTTGAAATTAGTAAGAAATAATAATGATACTTATACATTTCTCCCACGATTGAGGTTCATTTGTAGAAAGACCGTGACGTATCGACTGCAAACTGATACAGTCTTCATCAGGCGATGGTGTAGACTGAATGGTGTTTTTGATACCGCTTGTCGGATCATTGGTTTGGGATGCGATGGATGATTGATTGTTTCGTCTTCGCCCAGATTGTTTCCTTATAGTCTCTATCCACGCTTTAGGGGTTTCTATACCAGTCTCTATTGATGTTATTAGGGTGGATTCGGATCTGAACTGATAGCTATGAATTTCTCTGAATGGTAAGAAACATTTATACAGTAATTCTATTGGGCGGCCGTCAAAATCTTAGGAAATGTTAGAAGACTTTAAGGGGGCTGAACGCAGGGTACACATTGAAATTTTATTTGAAAGAAAGAAAAATACAAGTAAGTAAGTTAACTACCTAGCCATTTCACTAAATCACTGACTGATAGGCAAACTAATTATTAACTATCTAACTAACTAACTAACCAAGTGACTAACTCGCTATTTAGATAGTTATTTTAATTGAAAAATTGTCTAACTTACCGACTAAAAACCTGTTGGCCACATAAACTGAACGTTGCCTAACTGACACATTGTTTACACCCACACCTCCAAATTATCTCACTCTTTCTTTTCATCATATCTCTATTATACCTTTGGACTATCAGAATGAGGAACTTCTCATGCGATTCCTTAGTATGCTTCCTATGCTGACTTCAGGTCACTTAGTAACTTCTAATTTGACTGTATATTCCATTGTGAATTAAGGGGACGATTTGAAGTGCTTCTTCAGCTTCGATTCTGCTCGATCAAACAAATTGCAAAACTTGAAGGATGAGACTGTGATGTCGGTAGTTAACGCCCCAGAGGGCATCATCTCCAATGAAAATTGTGGCGGTGGTTTGCTCGCTTCAACTGCATGGAAGAAAAGAAAAAAATCTGCTAAAGTATATTAGAACAGGAGAAACTACACCATGTACAAGGCGAGGGACTAGATATTTCAGCGTGCGCTTCACCTTCTTCCCTTCTAGGGAGAATGAAGAGATAACTAGCTAAAAACTAGTGGTGTTTCTAATGAAACAGTAATGATTAAAGGGTAAATTATACACCGTGAAAAGATGAAAAAACTTGCTGACGTTTCCTAGATTACAGGGAACATCTAGGGCTCCTAACACATGATTCACACAGGGTGATTTGTGTCAAAGTATATTAGAACAGTAGGAACATAGTCCCCTCTATTAACCATGGTAGGAACTATACCATGTACAAGGCGAGGGACTACACCTTTCCTTCTAGGGAAAATTAATCTAGGGTTTCTCACATGATTCACACATGGTGACCGTCAAATCTTCCTTCCTACTCTCGTTAAACCGCTGAATACAAAACTACAACATTTTCTACTTCTGAGAAGACGAAATGAGACCAACAGGCTGCATATTTTACCCCTGACTTGTAAATCCGTTTCTTTCATTCTTCTTTGAAATCTTTCAACCAGAGAAAACACCAAAGGATTACAGTTTATTGCTGCAACAACGATACCTCATCGAAGCAGTATCTAGAGCCTGCGGGACGCCCGACGACGACAAATATTTGACCCTTGTTTGTTTGTTAGTACAGTATAGCGATAATTAACCCATGGGTGGCGTTCGCGGCTAACGCGTCGTCTTTCACCGCTGTGAGTCCAACGGGTCGAGACCTGCGGTCACCACATGTGAATTGAGTTTGTTTGATGTGTTGTTCTCTCCTATCCTAAGAGGGTTTTCTCCGGGTTCTCCGGTTTCCTCCCTCCGTAAAAATCAACATGTGAGTTGAGCGTTGTGTGCATAGAATATTAATAAATGTAGTGGTAGTGCGTGTGAGCGAAAAATGTCCCCAATTAATGCGAAAGCGCTAGAACGACTAGACACTTAAATAAAGTGATTTATTTTATTTTATTTTATTTTTTTTAAGGTGACATTTCTAAACTTACTAATGATAGCAAATCACAAAATGCATGCGTAGAAAGCACGTTCGCGGGCAAATGCGAAGTAAAAGTCAATTTTCTGAAACTTTGTCAGTGGATAAAACAACATAACACAAACAAAATAAGCCCAAAAAAACTAGGGGGTCACTTTACAATCCTGCAAGTAAGATGACTTGGAAGTCGATCATTTTAGCACCTATCGTGAGCTACGTGACGATTATCAAGTGGTGAAGAGAAATTATAAAAAAATAATTATGGTGAAAAAATTACAAATTATAGGGGGAAAGGTATTAGAGGCTGTGTTTTCACTAGAAATGTTAACTTGCGTAAAATTCCTGGAGGTGTTTTAATCCGACTCCCACCTTTCAAGAATAACATTGTGATTGGCCCATTTATTTGGTAGGACAACTTAAACCATCTTGCTAGGTAGTTTAACTTTGCCTTATTTCCGGTGTCGTAATTAAGCTAGTTTAAATTGTCCTAGTGAAAACACAGCCAGAAGCTATTATCGTAGCTAATAATCTGTTTTCAAAACGGTTATTTTTTGAGAAGAAAACAAATTACATCTCGAACTAAACTGTCGCTTTTGTCGTGTTTCGGTGCGATAAATAAATGGTTTTTTAAACTGTTTAAGAGGGCGTCTCTGTAAYAGCGTGCCACTCGATCTGGGCTCGAAAAATAGATTT